TCTACCTGTGTAAACAAAGACAGCAAAATGGACTCAGCATCTAGACATGTCAACATATTTTCTACAACAGAGGCAGAAAACTGTTTAGTGACAAACAGAGCAGGAAACAGAGAGGATGAGTCCTACCTCACCCCACCCTTTAGCTGAGGTGACTCTTCTTAAAGCCAAGTTAATGGTGCCGCCTCCGTTCCCATTGTGGGTGGACAAAGAGCCAGATAAAATAGCTGTGTCCTTTGTAGTGAGTGGAGCCTGCAAAGGATCGCACAGAACATGAACTCAATCATTCCCCTTTCTGACAGACAAAGTCAGGTAATAATAGGTCAATCGTGTACCTCTATAGACTGTGATATTTGCATCCTGTTGATCTCTACATGTGGGATGCCTCCAACCATATCCTCAAAGTCCTCTTCATACCGGTCAAAGAGGTCTGTGGCATCAATGCCCACACTTATCGTTCCCTGGAAAGTGATCATAGATTGATGCTGCACACAGAAGTACTTACAACACTTAAAGGCAGGCTCATCATCTTATACTATACTAAGGTACCTTTGGATTGGTCCGTTGCTGAAGCCGTCTGTCCTCTCGCTCCCTCTGAAGGCGCTCATACTCCTCCCGAATCTCGGCAGGGCTTCTTTTCCTCTCCACCACCTGCAGGAAGAGAACAGGAGTGGAATACAAAGTGAGTGCAAACAATAATTATTTGTTAAAATAAAATAATGTAAAAATCACCAAGCAATATAAGGTTTACTTTCCCACTATACCATCTTTGTAAGCGTTATTAATAACTATAAAAATGTAGAGAGGTAAAACACTGGAAATAGAAAGCACATACCAAAACCCTTTCAATAATTACACAGTCTTGATTTTGCCAAAAGGTAGTTATCCTTGTTTGCAATGCAAACCTACTTCTGTAGGCAGTTTAATTAAAGTGAAAATACATTCTGCAGTGTTATTAAACTATGGCTGAAGATGAGTTCTTCTTGTGTAAAAAGATTTAATTGCATTTTAGATGGAAGCTCCAAGCAGGAATCCACAGTTTTTGTTGTGTGGAATTTGGAAAAGTCTACATGTGGCAACCAATATACGTGACATTTAACATGCAGCATTATTAAAATATGTATGAGGATTTTAAAATAGTTGTCAGTTTTCTCATAGGGCTTCTCCTGCATGCATTGTGAACAAAACATACGTTGCTTTCAGATTAGTTTCTTGGCCTTTTCTGCCTCCACAATATTCATTATACTCACCTCCCATCCTTCGACATCGAGCCCTCGCTTCCCATAGATATCATAGATTGCTCGTGCTTGTGGGTCACTAAGTACTAAAAACAGAAGGATACAGATTTCAAAAACAGAGAACTCATCAACATTACTGAGTGTTAGGAGGTTGACTTCACTGTCTTCTGTTTAGCTGAGCTGGGGTAAAAGATGAATGAAGGTTGACCTACCTTCATAAGCTTCATGTACAAGGTTAAAAAGCGTTTCGGCCTGTCTCTTTAGCTCAGGATCGCGATGTTTGTCTGGATGATACAGCATGCACAAGCGCCGGTATGCTGCTTTCAGCTCCTCCTGGGTTGCCTGAAGCAGACCAAAAAATAAAAAAATAAAAAATGTAAGTGCAAAAAATAAAGAAAGAACTAATTTTACACGTTCATGGTTTACATCTCTTTGACACTCGTATGTAGCGAATTGCATCAATCAACAAAATGCATTGTTTCTTTTCTTCTCTAGTTACTAAGACCAATTTTCAGAATGTTTTTGTAAAGACTTAAAATAAAGACCTTTGAGCATCCTTTTCCATGAGGTTCTGCTTCATATTTGGTGATTCCACAAAATTTATAGTCAACTGACTATCATGGAGACTACATGTATCATCTGATTTAAAAAGAATGCAATTCAATTAAATGAAGGTTGTACTTAATCAAAACTCTCAATATACAGTTGTCAACATTTCCTGCTATTCTTATTTAAAGTCACAACAAAATACATAAATATCAAAACTGATAACTAAATTTGGTTGGTCAGATGCCAAAGAAAAGTGGAGCCCTAGGCTGGGAAAATGCTGATCGTTTTTTCCTGCCAGATAACAAACATGCCTTGACTGGTTGGTATCACACACATCATTGCTTAAGCAACCTATGATATTTATATACAAACCATAGCAAATAAAAAAAAACAACTAATCACATAAAGTGATACTGCTGTTTTGCACTTACTAACCTTTGCAATTACCTTTCACCTTTAGGAAGAAGACTTCTGGCATAAAATATGTTGGCAGTGTTAAAAGTTTTCAAGTAAGTCTAATTCATGAACATTTCATTTTCTCCATCGCAACACGGCAGAACTTTTAACTCAATATCAATCTTTCTCCTTCCCAAATTACTGCTTTAGACAACTGGAGCATTACATAAAATCTTCCCTTATTGTGTGGATCAGAGGTCTTTAATCAGAGGTCAATAATTTATATTTATTTGAATGAATCATGTTTTAGTTTTTAAAAATAGAGATTTCAGTGCAGTTGGCATTTAGTTTTAAATCTACTTTAGTTAACCACCGACTTAAAATGAACCTCCTCATGCTGCCCTGTATGAAAATAAACAAATCAGCTAATAATTAAAGAATGGCTTCATCAATGAGTCCATCTTTAACTATAAAGACCACGGTGACCATATGTCATAACCACATGGAATAACATTCAAGTTAGTCAGAAAAAAATAACTAATGAAACATGAATAAACGCTCTTTGGAATCGAGGATAAACTTTCATATCTACCATGAAGGCTCTTGAACTTCATGTTGGAGCTCACAGTTTCATTGGTAGCACTAGCAAGTTAGCACAATCCATGATGACATGCTTTTCAGCTAGCTTCACTGTAATATAACGACACAAAACTATTCAACCTTATACACGGAAAACAAGAATTACTCTAGCAAAACTTTAACCTAACAACCAACGGAATGTCTTACTCGGTTTCCAACTTGGGTGTCACTGCACTTTAATCAATGTCGTGGGTCATAAGCTAGCTACCTGTTCAGATACAGTTCAACCATTAAGCCGCCGCTAACACTATCAGCAGTAGAAATGAAGAGTTCCCCAAGCATACATCCGTATAAATGATTATCGACTTGGTAAGTTTACCACGTACCTCTCTGCGGACATTAAGAAGGGAATAGAAATCATCATTGCAGATCTCATCATCGTCCAAGGCAGACGCCATGTTTACCCCCGGTCATTTCTACTTCGTGTGTTTCCATACGCGGAAAAAGGCTCTCTCACGCCCTCTGTCGCCCCCGTGTGTTAAGCACGAGCATAAATACAAGAAAAAGAAGAAAAAAAAAAGAAAAGAAACCCACATAGAGTTATGCATAAACTTTTTTTTTCAAATATCAGTCATTCGTTAAAACCTGCAGGACTCTAAAGAAAACTTTTAAATTCTCCTATGTTTTTTCACACAAGAAAAAAATAAAGCAGGAAAAAATACATGTATGTTTTTAATTTTAAATTTAATGCATGTATTTTATATAACAGAACACGCAAAAAAAAAAAAAATAAATAAATACAGCTCACTATATGTTTCTGTCTGCAAAATCCTCTATACGGTGTATTTTCACATATATTTACTGATGAAAAGAGCTGTCTTTTCCTGGAATGACCTAAACTGCGGGCAGTAGGGGAGCTGTTCTTTCAGCACCACCACCTTAACGGCAACACTGTGTGTAAATGGTTGTCTATCCTCTCTGGTTGTTCCTGCCTACATATAAAGACCCGACTTTTTAAAAATTAAGTTTGAACTGTTGACCTCTACCCCTACTTATATGAGCTGCGTTTCAACCTTTGTTCATGGATAACTTTTTTCAATATACATAGTATATTAATACTATATAAAATCATTGATAGAGGGGAGTGTTGGCCTTGTTGTTAGAGCAGTGCGCGCTATGAAAGTAACAAGTAAGCGGTTCGATCTTGACAGCCTGCAATCTGAGTCCCTGAGCAGGACTCTTAATCTCCATACTGTTTCCTGGGGCGCCGCACAATGGCAGCCCACTGCTCCCCAAGGGGATGGGTCAAAATGTATAGATAAATGTCTCCAGTGTGAGATCAATAAAGTTCAATTATTATTATGAAGATGATGATACTGTATCACCAGTTTCAAGAGCATCTTCAAGAGATATTTTGATTTACCTAAATCACAAATTAACCAAATCCTATTCACACTTCTGAATAAAACGAAACTGATAACAGGCTCCTCTAACTGTGTGTTTCCTGGACGGGGCCGCCTTTTACAGCTGCTTTTTGTATGTCTGCTGCTGTCTCCTTGAACCCCAGTCAGCCTCAGCAGATGGCTGCTCACACTGAGCCTGGTTCTGCTGGAGGTTTCTTCCTGTTAAAAGGGAGTTTTTCCTCTCCACTGTCGCTACATGCTTAGTGTGAGGGATTGCATTCAAGTCGATGAGTCGATGCAATCAACTGGTTTTCCTTAGATAGAAAACTTTGAATCAATTTGACTGTATGATCTGGTAAACTGGAAAAGTGCCTTGTGATGAGCTGTGTGTGTAAATTGGCGTTATATAAATAAACTGATAAAACTATGACTGGAAATATCAACCATGTTGTCTGTAGTTTGTTCTAACAGCTTAACGTTCCACATCAATCCATTCAATCATGACGTTTACCAACTTTAATGTCACTTTGGGAGAACAATCCGGCCAAAAACACAAAATAAAACGAATTCCGAGCAGTTATAACTTAATAGGACGCCTAAAAACAACAGTTACGTGTTTATTTGTTTGTTTCACCATCATTTTAGTAACAAGCATCTTACTTTTTTGAGATGCATGAAAAATGTCAGGAAAAAAAAAGAAAGAAAGATCCCAGCTGGAGGTGCCAAAGTGAGGAGCGATGTGTTGTTTTTTTTCCTTCTCCACCTCCGTCACTCACTATCTCGCAGCCAATAGTAAGTTCGCCTCGGTCGGACCGACTCGCCGCGTGCCGCTCCCGGTCCCTCCTCGTGCTGTCCTCGCCGTGCACGCGCGTGGTACCCACGGTCGTGAGGAAGGAGGAGGATGTTGCGCGTGAAGGGGAAATGGCTGCCGAAAACAAGCCGGAAGGTAAGAAGAAATAGAATGGGATTAAATTTACCAGTGTGACCGTTGTGTGGTGGAAGGGGGGGATTTTTTTTCCCCTCCATCTTTTTTGAACAGAGCGGCCGTAACTCCGCGTGGGGATGTCACGAGCGCGAGGGCGAGAGCGAATTTTCTCCGGCGGAGAACGGCGCCGCTGTTTTCTTCACACAGAGGCAGCTGAAACGTGGAGACATCACTAGCCAGCTAATATTAGCTCTCATTGGAGCCAGTCGCTTTATTCCCAGCATAATAAGAACAAGAAAAAAGAAAAAGAAAAAAAAAACGCCACAGGAACGCATTATCAGCGTGGATAAAAGTACCGCGTGTACTGCTTATTATGATCCGGATTCTTGTCAAACCGAGGCGCAGTGCAAGTTGTTCCCAACAAGGCTAAGTTAATGACAACACGTCATTAATCGACCAACTTCTCCCTTCATTTGTGTTCTTTTAGTTCACATATTTTCTAAGCGCTTCTTTCGGCTGCTCTGAAATAATAATTAAAGTACGTCTGGTTTTAAATATGTAAGTTAGAGAAGGTCCTTCAGTTCCCCCTTGAAGCGCAGGAATTTTCTATGCCATTCAGCGAGCAGTGATCTATTTTTAAATAATGTTTTTTTTTTCTCCAATACTTTTCTTGCCCTATATTCGATGTGAACCAAGTGTAGCTCTGTAAGATGTCCTGTCGCGCCTGAAATGCCATCACACCAGCAGATGAAGAGGGAGGATGGAGAGCAGCCTGCCCATAACATTACTTTACACATAGGACAGACAGCATGATGACTTTCGCCTCCTTTCTCAGCTGATTTCAGTCGCTCCTCTCACTGAGAACCAAATGCATCAGGCTTAATTCTTTCTTAAAAAAAAAAAAATTAAAAATAAAGTGGAATATTTCATCACAACTTATATGCATGAGAAATTTATGCCCATTCAGAAAGGCCCATGGATTTTTTGGGTGAGTAATTAAATTAAATCCTGCATCAAATAAATAGTGCTGAAAAATGTCAATGTGTATGAAATCTACAGCTTTTAAAAAAGGATTTATGACTGCATGCAAATATTTGTTATTATTAACTTTTTGCTAATGAGTGCAATGTTGTTGCACTGAAACACCATCTTCATTATATTTCTTTTTTGACGTTTAGGTATTTTCATAGCCTGGGGGGTGTAGCAAAAGGGAGATGCTAGACTTTTAATACTTGATGCATAATTTTAGATTCTTTAGTCTTTTGTTTGGTCCAAATATTGAATGCTTCCTTTAGTCTTTCAGAGATGAAAAGACAAGAGCTCTTTTAGTGTCAGTGACTTGAAAGATATGTTCTTTTAGTACAGAATGGGGATACATTTTTAATTGTTTCTGTTCATATAAAAAGTAGTGATGAAACACTGGTGGTTTCTGGTTGGTTTGGATGTCAGTGTGCCAACCTCCAAAAGGAGTCCCACCAGGGGGTGCTATTGAGCTAAGGAGGCTCTCATATCTTTGGACTTAGTCTGGGGCTTGGACTAAAAAAATTAAGACATCTGTTTGGAGATAGTAATGACTATTCTCTATTGTAGTTTTCTAAATGTATTCCTTAGCATAAATGAACTGAAAATACATGTTATAGCTGAAAAAAACCCCAACATAGTAAAGCATCTTCAATGCAATGGGCTTTTCTCTGAAAACCCAGGCTTGAATGTCCCATTGCTGAGCCGGTCAAGTTATTTTCAGTGCTCCTGAGAGGCCGGTCAGTGGAAAAAAAGAAGGAGGAGGACGGAGAGCATAAGAGAAAGATTACTTCACACCTTTATGTAAATGCCATGTCTTCTCATGCAGACTTGATCTTCACAGCTTTCATATAAAGCTGTCAGATGGCTTTTTTTTTAGTTGGCTCTTTGTTCATGTAGAACCGATGTTTTTAATAATGTTTTTATTTTTTTTTACATAAGGGGTGAACCTGTTTTTGCAGCTATTGAAAAAGCAGGACTTTTTAATTCTTTAACCTTTTGTCCTTGTGGCATCAGGGCAGTTCTGATGGCTCACACTTGTTTGGCAGGTCTCATAAAAGCTCCATAACAAGTGAGGGGCCATGACCTGGACTCACTCTGTGGTGTAATGTTTACATCCTGGTGTATTTCTTCAAAGTCTCAGCCTCACCCTTGGGGGTATCTTTACTCCCCTTCACACTCCTAAAAATCTTAGTGTGTGTGTTACTTTAAGCACAGGGCTAGGAGGGCACTAAAAGGACAGGCTTGATATGCCTCACAATGAAACTGCTCTGGAGAAAACTACAGCCTGCGGTCTTAAACATCTGCCTGGACAAAGCCTTCGACAAATATTTTAGAGCAAGAGTCATAAGTGGGAGTGTAAACAGGGGATTTATAGGCAAGCCTGAGGTTCTTTTGGATCTTTATACTGTCTTAATATTTTTGTATGCCAAAAGTTTGAAACAAAAATCTAATAGAGGGATGAAGTAGCAGTCTATTGAAGTTTGGATCAAAACAGTCAACTAAGGTGGCCAATTTATAACTTAGGCTTACTTTTCTTATCTTTAGATTTGAAAAAGTTTCTTGATTTGATCAGAATTCAGTATGGAGCGCCAGCAAAAGATCAAGCAAGCACAGAGTTTGCTCTCAACTGCAAAAAAAATGCTTTTGCAGCAATTATATAAACATATCTCTGCTGTTTTGTAAAAAGAGGCATTTATTTTTTAACCTCGTGATGTCAAATGGGCTGCTCTCCTGGCTCTGTGTTGTTTCAGTGAATCAGGTGCTCGGTTTTCTGCTCTGCCTTTTAGTTGGACCAGGAAGGTCTGTTGGATGATGCTGATACGCATTGCTCCTGATTCCTGCACGTAGAAGACCTTTATCAAATTGGGTCACGCTCAAACTGACCCTTGTAATAAATTTTTTCACCTTGTAGGGATTCAGAATATCTGTTTTAGTAATTAGTGACACAGAAATGTGATAAAATAAGGATTTCCATAGTTTTTATGTTTTGCCAAACAGATCCAGGGTGTTAGACACAATTCTTTGAGAATTGTTATGACAGTAAAAAAATATTGTTCTAAATAATAATTTTATTCCTTCAGTTTAATGTTATGAAACATATCGAAGCATCCATCCTTTTATTTGAGTACACTTTTGCGCATAGGTTAAGAAATTATTGTTTTTAACTATGATGCCACAATTATTAGAACCCTTGTTGACAATACTTTATCAGCAAGGGTTCATCTTCTAATATAACCTTTTAAAAGAAGGGATCTTACAGCGAGGGATCCTTTGCCATTGCTGTTTCCGTCTCAACATTTTTGCAAATTTTTTCTCAAAAAACTCACTAGATCTCATTTATAATGACCTGATATTTGTACAAAGTTCATAAAGCTTAAAAAGCATCTCCAGTGTGTCTAAAATGACAAAGGCCCAGAGCAGCACAGATCCTCCACTTTACTCAACATTTAGCCTAAGGTCCTCTCTGACAGTTTTATTTTGTATTTTATTGCTGAATTTCCTGAAGTAAGCGTTGTGAACGGTTTGATTTTAAGCTCATCTGAGCAAACACAGAGTTTCACTGGGAGACCCAGTAATTTTCGTAAACTGTTTACCTTTGATGGCAAGGCAGAAAAGGCTTTTTCCTCACATGCCTCTCAAACAGCCAATTGACATAGACAAGGTCTTGGTGACCATATGATGTTATTCACTGCTGCAGTTCTTCCACTTACTGTGAGCTTTGCCGATTTGTTTAACTTTCCTTACCTTCTTCAATCTGTGTGGCTTCTTTTCTTTATTATTGCCTAAAAGAAGTAAGCCTCTGTGTGAAATGATATTTATTCTAATGAAACAAAAGATAATATAAATTTGTTAAATTAAAGGGTAAATGCACTCAAAGAAAAACATACTTAAGTTATTTTTTAATAGTTGTTATACTTGCAGTAAAATATAGGTTTCTGTTAAACCTCTTTCCACATCATTATTTAATGTTTTTAGTGTGTTTTCTTATTATATTCTGTGTTGTTTCTGTTTATTGCTGCATGGGGATTGTGTTTAGATATCACAGGCTGAGAGAATACTTTTCCTCGATCTTTCTCTACTTTTCTCTTTGCCTCCTTAAGGACTGAAGAAAGTTCGTAATCCGGATCGAATGTACAGATCAGCAGTGTGTTATGCTGGCCATGGTCCACCTAAGAGTATCAGTGATGACACAGAGACGAACAGTAAGAGTCAGTTATTAATACTGCATTCCCGCTGCAAGTCGCCACTAGCTGGCTAATCTATTATTCATCCATCAATTCATTTATTTACTTCTTGATTTCATCTGTTCCCATGCCCCCTTCCTTGTTTTTTTTTTTCTCCTCCAACACAACACCTCCTGCGGCTGCTCTGTTGATTGAAGTGTCTGCTTTACAGGATCATGCTGTCAATAGCTGAAGTGTTGTCGTTAACTAAGAGTGATTGTTTCAGGTTGAGGCCACGGGATCAGGACCTGAGCAGACCCTCAGAGACAAAGCTTGAGCTCTTAGCCATCAATTATGTCTTTGCCTTTTGTCCGCTTTTCTCAAAGCTTCTTTTATCAATGAGAAAATAGCTGCATAAATTCTAATTTTGTCCAGGTTACGTGGCAGGGGAGTGAAATATTCATGCTTTTCCTGAAAGTTAATATTCTGTGATATTTAAATTGAATGAATATTTGTCTCTGTCTTCGTCTCCTTGCATTTGTGCTGTGGGAAAACAGCAGAGCGAGGGGCAAAGAACAAGAACGTGGGGAAAAAAGGAAAAAAAAAAGCATCACAGAGGATTTTTATTACTAGTAAAAACCAGCTTCTGAGCGAACCGCCTCACTGCACTCCCAGTTCTGCACACAAGCGTTTTATTTCGTCACTACCAAAACAAATCAGTCAGAAATATAGGCCAAAGCCTTGACTTCATATTGGATGACTTTCTTTTCATTCTCTTTAGAAAATACGCCTGATCTTTTTTTGGGCTTCTGTCTTTTGCCACATGAGAAGCTGTCCCCCTCTGTGAAGCCGATTGTTCCTCAGCAGAAAGGAGCCCCCTTTATTCTTAATGAATACACCATCCCCTTCACTGCTGGACGACTGTGTTGATCTTGACTAGAGGCTGCGTAATTAAGTGTGCTCATGTATTGTCATTTCTAAATAGAGAGCATGAAATCACCCTAACCCCTTGTTAGGCTCTGTGCTTCACCAGTGATAACTGCCCCTGGAAGAGCTCCACGGCACCGCATTGTTTTGCTCTCTTTAACTGAGAATGTCTGAGAGATTTAATGGCAGGGGAGCGCTTGTGCAGATCTATGAAACAGGGTTGTAGTCTGTAACAGATACATAGCTGATAGACTTTTGTGTTACCCCCTCATGTGTGACAGCTCTGACTGACAATATGTTTTGCCAGTCTTGCTATTCTCCCTCATGTTATTGCGTGATATTACACTATCCTGTCCCCTGTGTCACACACTCTGTTTAATGTGTTCAGCCTGGAGGTTTTTCTGCCAACCAATGGGAGGGTGGGGGTGTGGGGGGGCAGTCTGAATGCAGGCAGGCAAACCATTGATCTGAGTAATCGTCTGAGTAATTGTGGGAGTAGTTATGATACAAAAAAAGAAGGGTCTCTTTTGTGCACACATTTGTAAGCAAGAGGGAGAACAGTGGAAAAAGAAGAAGAAGAAGAAGAGGAGAGAGGCAGAGAAAAAGAGAGACCTCACCTCTGCTCTCCTTGAGATGGGATTTTTATGGATGGGTGAGCTCACTGAGGGCTGAGAACACATAAAGAGTCATTTTCAGTTTGTTGCAGGCAGTTAACCATGTGTGCATGTTTGTTGGACTTCCATTAATAGGCCGAGGCGTTTTTATGTTTTTTTTTTTATTTGTTTATTTATTTTTAGCCGTTTGACTTTTTGACAGGCTTACCTTATTATCCTACACAAATCGACAGTGTGTCCTGTTTTTCCACACTGCTGAAATGTTTAAAAGTAAAGCTATGGACAAGCGCTCCGGGGCTACTTTACACACAGCTTCATGTCTCTTTAGAGTACAAATAACAAATAACGTGCAGTGAGATTCTCAGAAGTTTCTGTATTGCTTGTATCCAGTGGTGGTGGTGGGGAGGGCTCTCCCTTCCCATCTTTTCGAACAGCTGTTGTGTACATTGCAGGTCAAACACTCATCCTAGACACCATCTCTAGAGGGCAGAAACTGCTTACTTTGTTTTGGTTTGCTTTGTATCAACACAACATAAAAGTTCACTTCACTGATTCGTTGTTTGCCTTTAACACTTATGGGTGATGGTTAATTTCACAGTAAAAAAGTGTGTTATCAAATACACCACAGGCCATAAGATAAATATAATATAATTCTTACACTAATGTATGGATATTTTAAATCCAAGTCTGTTTACTCGCCCCTGTACTCCCATCAACAGCAATCAGGACCATGGACAGCGAAGCAAAGCCTCAGCAGAAAAAAAGGGCCTGAAAAGATAGCTGACACATGGTTTTAGAGTCATTTTTTTTTTTCATTTTAATAGACGAGTTAACATGATTGATGAAGGTCAACCCAAGGTTATGGGAAAACAAACATTTTGAGAAATTCTTTGATGGATTTCTACTGAGGCACACTGAAATTCACACCTAAATTGCAAAAAATCCTTCAAGAAAATAAGCAGAACTTGACTCAGCAGTGAACTTTTCAGTAAGTAGATATGTCTATGAATGATTCACATTAGGAGAGTAAAAACTTGCTCAGCCTTATAATTTCAGCAACATATTTAAAGTAACTGGAATGTTTTGTGCAGAGGAGAGCTGTGCACAAAGTTTGAGCCTGTATTAGATTAAATTATACCCGTCCCTGCTGCAACTTTAGAATTACACCAGTTTGTAATGAGGACTGCTTTTTCTAAGTAGCATAAAGTTATCAAATCGACATGTAAACAAAAATAGTATTTCACTCAAAAGTTTGTGGAAGAGAGAAATGGAGAAACTCCTAAACCAAATATCAAAGTTCATAATGGAGAACCTCAAGAAGCCGAGGCTGAAGGTTTGGCCTTGGCCTGTACAATACCCTGACCTAAACATAATTGAAAATCAATGAGCAGACCTCAAAAGAGCAGTGCAAGCAAGATGGCACCACAGTGCCACAGGACAGCATTTAGCAGGAAATGAAAAAGTAAAGTCAAAAACTGAAATTCTGGGGATGTTATAAACAGTGTTTACATGCTGGGGCACTTTTAGAGAAATAGTTTTAGTTTTTGTTATTTTGAAGGCATAAAACATGGTTATAAAAAGTGAGGAAATGTCTCGCTCACTTTTTGGTGTAGTTTTATTTTGTTGGGGAAAAATAGTGCTCACCTCTGCCTCCTGCTCTAGTTTGTTGCAGGGGTTTGAGGATTTTATAGTTTCAGAGGAAATCATCTAAATTTAATTCCCCTCAAAGTTTTACATCCTTTCTAAGTATTTTTTTAAATGAAAGTTAAAGCCTCTGTTTGCACTTCATCCTCATTTTTTTATGTCTCTTTGTCAGATTTTTTTTTTGCTTTGGGATGCAGCATGTCACCAGCTGACCATTTCTGCTTGGTTGTCTGAGTTCATCTCATCTTTGACATTTTAAATGTTTCTTTTCCTCTGCCGGCAACTTGTTACTGCTTTATGCCTCTTTTCCCATGTCCATTTTCGGATCTCTGGACTGCTGTAGAGCAGTCCTTGATATTTCTTATAAATCTCATTATATTTATGTATTTCATGGATTATTTTTACACTTTGCAACTGCATTTAGCAAACTGACAAATGCTGTTATTTGAAAGTAAAATCATTTTGGTTTTCTAATTATTTTTCACAGTTTAAAGCTGATATAGTCGGAAAATCTTTAAAGCTAAATTCTAAAACAGTTTTGTGCAGCGAAAGTCATTCAGTTTAATGATTCTGAACTTCAGTGCAGTTAGGCCTTACTAATTTCTCAGCACCTCTCACTGGTCAGTTTAAATCAAGTGTTTATAAATAAGTAGGCTACAATTAACTGTGTAAACACAATTATCTGAGATAATTAGGCTCATGCTGGCAGAGTGCTCATATTCTTCTTTACTGAATCTCTCAGCTGATACTGACATAGGGTCAGATTGTAAAATGTTATTTGATGGATAGATGAAAGTTTCTTTATATTATTATTACCTTCCTGCAAATGCATTGCCTTGCAAAATTGACCGCAACTCTCCTGTTGCAACAAGAAACTTCTATTTGTTTTATTGGAAAAACCATAACAAAGTTGAGAATAGTTGTAAAGTGGAAGAAAAGCAATAGAAGGTTTTCTAACTTATCTGCAAGTAAATATCAGTTAAGTATAGCTTGTCTTTTTATCCAGCTCCCCTGAGTGTTTGTTTTACTTAATCACTGTTAATACTGCATTAAGAGGGAGGACAGCATTCATTTGTCCTAATATAAAGTCAGCAAGTTTTAAATTGGTATCTTCTGGCCAGAAGACCTTCCACATGCTTATGTTAAAGTATGGATTTGAATCATGTATGCCATTTTCTTCCGTATGGGCTTTGGTCTGTCATTTTGTTGAGCACCAGGTCTTGATTGGCATGCTGCTTTAGATTTCCTTTTTCAAATGATGCATTGAGTAGTGCTTCATGAAGTATTGCAAGTTTTGGATGTGGTTTTATGATCTAACCTTTTAAGTTATCCCAACTCTTCAACCTGTCTGTACTGTTCCTTGTTAATTTTTTTTTTACATTTTTTTTAACTTATCACATCTTCTTTGAATATTTTAATTTCTCTGTTATTTTTTTATATTTAAAAAGCTTTACTAATATAAAGCGTTCAAGTTGACCCATTCTTCTAATTGGTCAGCAGAAGAATACCTTAGTAAAACAGTGGCTGTTATAAAAATATATAAAAAACAAAAGCAAGACAATTAAAGTTATGTTACAGAAAGATGAAAGTGTCCATATCCAGAGCTTTAGTTGTGAAGTGATTTATCTGTGATGTGGTTCAGGATGGACCACAGTTACAGAGCTCCTGACATCTATAAGCCATATTAGCTTTTGTGGAAAATGGTTGCATTCAAACAGTTGCCTTAGATATGCACCGCCACCGGCGATTTGTTGAGTGATCTATAGCCAAAACATTAGCTTGCAATTTCTCCACAATGCAGGCACAGATTAAAAAGAAAAACTGTCACTCCCAGAGCGCTCCCAGACAGAGACA